CACTGTTCAGCCCTTGACCACAGTCTACTCTGAGGACTTTGAACTCTAGTTACATGAGTCAACGACTGTCTTTGCTGTTTGTTTAAACTGGTTTATCTGCTCTCTCTCTCTCGATCACTCACTCACTCTCACTGTGTGTGTGTGTCTATGCATCTCTGTGTGTATCGGTGTCTGTGTGTCTCTGTGTATGTGTCTATGTGTCTGTGTGTATATATGTGGCTGTGTGACTCTGTGTCTGTGTGTGTTATTGCATCTGTGTGTGTATATCTGTGTCTGTGTGTTTCTGTGTATGCATCTGTGTCTCTGTGTGTGTGTGTCTGTGTGTCTGTGTCTCTGTGTATGTGTCTGTCTGTGTATGTGTATATGCATCTGAGTGTGAGTCTCTGTGTATGTGTCTGTTGTGTGTGTGTGTCTATGCATCTGTGTCTGTGTCTCTGTGTGTGTATCTGTGTGTGTGTATCTATATATGTGTTTGTGTGTCTCTGTGTATGTGTCTGTATGTGTGTGTATCTGTCTCTCTGTGTGTGTCTATGTATCTGTGTCTCTCTGTGTGTATCTGTGTCTGTGTGTCTCTGTGAAAGTGTGTGTGTGTGTGTGTGTGTGTGTGTGTATGTGTGTGTGTGTGTGTGTGTGTTGCATGTGCACTGAGGTGCTGTTGCCTCAGAAACCATTCTTGTCTTTTTGAGAATGGGATCATCAGGACCTGGGCTTGTTGATTAGGCTAAACTGGCTGTCCAGTAAGCACCAGGGTCCCCTTGTCTCTACCCACCCAGGACTGAGATTGCAAGCATGTGCCACCATGCTCAGATGCTGGAGTTCTCGGGCCCCAAGTTCCGCTGCTTACAAGACAATCACTGATTGGACTCCCTCCCCAGTCTCATGTCACCTGTCCTTAGTGACACCATGCCAACTGACTCGTTAGAATGGCAACCAACAGAAAGAACAATTTAGGGACAGCGAACTAACTGCAAACAGGCCCGTGGAGGCCGAGGGTGGAGAGGGGGAGGGGACTCATAATGCTGGCCATCTTGCCCAGGCCGGGGGGACTTTATTCAGGGGAATAGTACACAATTTTGTTGCTTTGGTGGCAAGGGGGGTGGGTGGGTCTGAGAGTTTGGAGAGGGAGGAGACTAAGAGATGATTTCAGGCTGTACTGGTAAATCAAAGGTTCATAAACAGTTGGTCTCAGGCTCTTTTCACATGAAAAAAATCACTGAGGACTCCAAAGAGCTTTTGTTTGTGTGGGCTGTATCCACTAAGATTTTGAAAAATTAGATAATAAAATAAAATTTAAAACATTATCTAATTCACTTAAAATAATATTAGATGACCCATTAGTGTAAAAGATGGAATTGTTGGACATTTTTGTAAAACTCTTTAAAGTCTAGCCAGATGGTGGCCTCTGCTTCCTGCTGTGAGTGGTTTTTATAGTCTATGAAGACATCCAGACCTAGCCAGACAGCCAGCTGGGTCAGAGAGGTGTTACCTGAGTCATTAGCGTCCTGGAACCTTAACAAGCCAGATTCCGCCATTTGTCCTCACTGAGCCAATTAAGCAGCTGAGCAGCTCTGAAACGTAGAGAAAAGAAATGTATTCAGTGTGGCTACACTGGGAAAGGGACCAACTACAGAGAGGTCTTGTGACCCCTAAGTCCATCTTCGGAGTCGTGACAGGGGGTGTAGATTTGAACACAGGGGAAGAACTATATGTAAGTAGTTATCCTGGTTAAGTGTAGTCCTGCCCATCACTAACCCAAAAGGTCATGGCGCTGGTCTCTTGCAGAGCCCCGACAAGTCACCAAGTCCCTTCAGGGGAGACAAACTCCCCAAGCAGTTGGCAGGGTGGAGAGGGAGGGCCTGTAAGATAGTGAACTATGCTGCCAACCGTCTTGTCCAGGGCAAGGGAACTTTATTCAGGGGAGTTTCAGCCTTTTCCTTCTCTCAATCCAAGACTCAGGGGAAATTCCAACTTCTTAGGGACCATTGTTTCAGTGGCCCGCTAGTTAAAGGGAGGAGGATACGGGTCTCTCCTTCAGTCTTCCCTTCTTCCAGGATTGTGGCGGAGGGACGTGTTCATAGTCTTTTCAGGTAATTAGCAGTTTTGGGTCCCTCCCCACATTGGACGGGCAGTACTTTCCTGAAGGTTAATTCAGAGAGGAGTCTGAAAGCATGTTAACAAACTTATGCTTTGTTTTATTAAAATCCATCATCTCTTCCACACTGTACTACATGATTTTGATCTTTTGGACATCTTGAAAGCATCTCGGAGATCCCCTGGGGTCTTTGGACTGCCCCATTAGCTGTTATAAATCAAAGAAGCTTGGCAGGAACCCAAACAGGGCAACCAAAGTGGCCTGTTTTAGTCATTTGGATGCTGTACTCTCTCAAAAAAAAAATGATGGGAGAAATGGGAGGATGTCTCTGTGCTGTGTTGCCGGCGGCGTCGGTATGGGATGGATCCAACCACCACAGATGCATTTCAGGTGCAGCCTCCAAGGGTTTGTGGGAAGGTTGTTTCTGAAAAAACAAAACAGAGTACGAAAAGGCATCCCTTAAGGGGGGAAAACTCCTTAGAGAAGAACCACCTTCAAAGGGAGAGGGAAGGCTCGGAGAGAGGAAATGACAACTCCAACACATGTAAGCACGTTTTCTTGTCAAGGAACACAGCACCGAGGACATGTCACAGGGTTACAGCACCACAGCAAAAGTTATGGCTTGGAGCCAAGAAACATGCGTGTGTGTGTGTGTGTGTGTGTGTGTGTGTGTGTGTGTGTGTGTGTGTGTGTAGAATCTGAGGGCAAGGGAGAGGCTGCATTCCCCAACTGAGAATAAACCTGCCGGGCTTCTCAAGAGCTGGGCACAGGACTAGAAGACTGGAATTGCCTAGGAAGTTCCCTGGCAGTTTCTGGGAACTGAAGCTGAATCATGAGTGCGACCTGGAGCCAAAACTTGCTACAGTGGCGGCCTGGATGGAGTGCTGCGCTTTGGACTTGATCTGCTAATAATCCACCAGGCCGATTTAACCTGATGCTTTTGAAGATCAGTGGGGCTTTTTTTAAAGAGTGCATGCAGTGCAAACTGCAGTGGGAGGGAGTGACTCTAGACAGCCTTCCTTCCAAGGCTGACACCTTCCCCAGGCTTTGACTATTGATCAGAGGCTCAGCTCTGTTCCTCTATCTGGAACTTGCCAGCGGTCACGAGAATCTTTTACCCATGGTGGATCCTGTATTCACCCAGAACCGCTTTCATCCTGGTCTTAGTTCAGCACCTGCACTTTTCAAATTTTAATTTAATTAGTTTATTTTGAAATGGTTTTTACCCCCCTTTCTCTCTCTGTCTCTGTCTCTGTCTCTCTCTGTCTCTCTCTCTCTCTGTATGTATCAGGTGACAACCTGTAGGGGTTGGTTCTTGCCTTTTACCATGTGGGCTCCATTTGGCCTTGATGGCAAGCACCTTTACCTGCTGTGGTGGTTTTGAATGAAAACTGTTCTGATAAACTGAGGTATGTGAACACTTGGTCCCCAGTTGGTGGCACTGTTTGGGGAGATTATGGAACCTTTAGGTGATGGCGCCTGCTGGAGGCAACGTGTCTCTGAGGGTGGATATGAGCGATATTGCGGCACTTACTGCACATGTGGTTCAATCCCCCTCTGACCCTTCGGCCTGGCAGAGCATTCCCTGCGGTAATAGATGCTGGGACTGGAGCTAAAATAAAAGTCACAGTGTTTGTTCACAGCAACAGGAAAGTAATAATACCACTATTATTATATTACTGTATTATAATGAGCTATCTTGCCATCCTTAATTTATTGCTTCATTGTTTGTGTGCATGTGTTTGTGTGTGCTCGCCTGTGTACATGTAGAAATCAGAAGGGGACCATAGATGCTCTCCTTGATTGCTTCTCCCCCTTACTTAGTGAGGCAGGGTCTCTCTCTGGACCTAGAGTTAATGGAGTTGGCAAGACTGGCTGGCAGCAAACCCCAGGGATGTACCTGTCTCAGCTTCCTGAGTGCGTAGATTTCAGGCACGTTCCACTGTGCCCAGCTTTTTATACGGGTTCTGGGGATCTGAGTTCAAGTCCTCATGTTTCATGGCAAACGCTCTGCTAACTGAACCACCTGTCAAACCCATCTTCACTTTCTTGTGACGTAACGGCCTGAGCATCGAATAGGAAGGAGCCCTGACCTCGGGGTGAGGTTTTGTGAAAACATTCTGGCTTTCCGCTTTGGGCATCACAAGCTCTCCTCTTTCCCAGTGAAAATCTGGTGCCAACCAAAGTCCCTAAAGCACAGGAAGGCTTCCAAGTGCATAGGTGCAAGGCTGAGCTGTGCACCAGGCTGAGCTGTGCAAAAGGCTGAGCTGTGCACTGGGCTGAGCTGTGCACCAGGCTGAGCTGTGCACCAGGCTGAGCTGTGCATGAGCTGAGCTGTGCAGGAGTGAGATGGGGTGGGCAGACCCCAGCCCACCCACTTATCCCCACCTTGGGTTACTAGTTTTTGGAATGGTGTGGGAATTTTCACTGTGAAGATAATCAAGAGGATCCTTCCATCATCTGTGGACACATTTATGCTTTATGTGTTTTTCTATGTTTTCTGTTAAGCTTCCACAAATGATGACAATATTTTACATACTAAGACATTAAAGATAGGGATCATACAGATGCAGGATGTATTCGAATAAATTAGAGCCTGGGTTTTTAGTACTACACTGCAGATTATGCCTCAGAGAACCCGTCAGAAAGTTCAGTGGAGTCAGTGTGCATATTGTGTCCAAGGACAGAAGTCACAGGGCAAGAGAGATGCTCAGAGGTTCAGAGCACCTGCTGCTCTTACAGAGGACCTGAGTTTGGATCCCAGAACCCATGTTAGATGACTCACAATTGCCCAGAACTCCAGCTCCAGGGGATACAAGGCCTGCTTCTAGCTTCTGAGGACACTCACCCACATACCCATACCAATAAATAAATATGAATGAAAAAATCTTTTTAAAGAAAGACACAATTTACAACAAATTTTCTCATTTATTCTGACAGTCATTTACTTGTGATTCACGACCCTACCCGAGGCAGACTCATTCTGTAGAACAGAGCAAGGGCTCCCACTGGGCTGTGCCTGGGTTTGTAAGATGGGAACAGGAAACAGCAGAGAGGACAACAGACCAACTAACTGGTCAGCATCGGATTACACTATTATTCTTGTTGTTTCAGTTTTTGGCAAGGACTGAAGCGATGCCTCCTTTACACTCTGGCTCAAGCCATCTGGAATCTTCTGTTTTCTGCCTGTGGTCCGTCAGCTTCCTTGCATTTTCAGTGTGACAAGGTGGCACAGGGTACAAGTGCCCCCAAGGTGGCTTGGTCTAGTCTGGGCTGCTTCATTGCTCAAGCCAAACAGGCCTTCCGGTGTTTTGTTAACAGCTGTCTGTCAGTTTCTGGAAAAACTTTCTGTTCAAAAACTGCATTTTGTTTTCGTCAGCCCTGTCATAATTCCAGTGAGATTAACAGGAACTTTGGAGGTTCTCTGTGGAATCTTGGAAGAGCTGAGAGGATTGATTAGGAATCTCCACTTCTGGCCTCACTCCTTAATCAGCCTGCCCTGGCAGGAGGAAGAGGAAACAGTTTCATGGGAGAGAAAAAGCCTGTGCTGGGCTAGGCAGGTGGTTCAGTCAGTAAAGTGCTTGCTTTGCAAGCCTGAGGACCTGAGAGGACTCTCCATTACCCAGACTAATAGACAAATCAATAACAAACGAATACAAACAAAAATGGGTGTAGATGTAACCAACCGTCTTATTAAATAAGAAACACAGAAACAATGTAAAAGAGAAAGCCGAGAAGTCAGAGCTCAGAGCTAAAATCTCACCCCTCCTCCTGCTGTCCCAGCTTCGCGAAAAGAGACCTACCTCCTGTCGGTTCGTTTTTTTAAAGTATGTTGTTCTGCCTTCTCATTGGTTGTAAACCCAAACACATGA